TTCGCCGACTTTTGCAAAACAAAGTTGACTTAGACTTTGGTTTCTCAAACCTCAACACTGAAGTAAACTATTATTTCAATGCTGCTGGAGATGCTTGGGACCCAGTTAAGTTCACATGCGAAAAATTTGAATGCAAGAGAATTAGAAAGCAGACTTGCAGTCTATATGTTGGACCCAGATATTTCAAATGCTTAGCTGCCAAATATTATTGCAGTTTCCACTTATGTTCCCTATACACCAAATATCTGTCAAAGATTTGCAGGTGAAGTTGGAAACCAAAGTGCTGACCCAGGTGCAAGAACAGATATTGCTTAACAACTGCAATGAAACATGCAGATACTATGTTTGTACTGTTCAGACGAACTATAAATGACTATTCTTGCTTCTACAACCCTGGTATTAAATACCATATAAACATAGATGGCAAATATTATCCAAGAGAAGAATATTCTACAGTTGAGGATATGAGGTCATACAACTTGACATTAGATGCTATGAACTTTAACAACAACTTCACAACAACCATTAACCCTGAAATGCAAAGTTATTATGCCATATGTGAAAGTATGGACTCATACAGAGCTCAAAAAACTCAATATACAAATGGAGACCGTTTCAAACTTTTGGCTTGGCATTCCATTTGCTGACTCAGAAGACTTTATGGGTGGTATTTCAACTGTTGGTACTGTACAAATACATATACTGGTGACAGAGACGGTCCAGATGAATTGAAAGCAAAGAAGTTTACAAAACCAATAGCACTTTTCACGGAAGATGCTCTTTGAAGATTCGTTTCGATGAAACCTGCTGGGGCTCCTCAGATTGGCATAACGACAGCTTCCATCGAGCGAATTTTGGCAGCAGGTCAGTAAGTTGTTCTTGAACTGACTTCTCTCCGTCAATATTGACAGTACGCCAGTTTTGACATAAAATTGTATTATAAACTTACCTTTAGAAATATCTGTAAGTTTTGAAGTTATTACTTTCTTGTCTGCTTAAGAACATTCTACAAACCATCTCGTTATACCAACTTTCTTTGTCTTATGAAAAATATTTTCGGTCAGCAAAGACTGCTATCTATAACATTTTCCATTGTTTGTAATAAAGAACTATTCTGTCAATGTATTGTATTGTTTGTGTGTGTAAACTTTGTTCTGCTTCAATTCAATAAGATATCCGAATACGTCCATCTTTTTATTCTAAGTAAAATGTCATTTCGAAAAATAGAAGCGTAAGTGTTTCAAAAGGTTAATGGCGATGGCAGATGTGAAGTTAAATTCACCAACTCAAACAAACAGTCAAAGTGTTGTTGTCAATGTCAAAGAAAGAGATGTTGAAGTGGGGAAACCATAACGAGACGCAAGATGGTATAATCAATCTAGTTCCTGTTAAAAGAAACCAACATATCCTGAAGTTAGCAGAGAGCTTAAGTTCTGTTGCAGATATTCGAAACGACTACCAACACTTGAAAGACATCAACTTAAACTCAGGAGAAGATTTGTCACATTTAAGTGTATATATGTAAACTTGGTCGAACACAACCCTGTAAAGTGAACTCATTATGTCATTGCACTCACTTGAAGTTTTGAAAGAACTATTGAAACTTTTGACAGAGGCAGACGATATAAACATCAAAGAATAGAACCGACATTAGTTGCTGTGGTGTTTTCATTATAATGCCATTGACAAGATATACGTTATGAAAGGAGGTGAAACGTTGAACTTAAAGTATAGTTCCCAGACTCATAAAATATTTTGACGCCACACAACATTTCATTAAAATTTATTTTGCTAAGTAAATGGCAGAAGACTATAATGATGGTTATACTATTTACGACTAATAAACCCTGAGTCGATATAATTCTTATAACAACAAACTTTACAAAGTCCTCCCAAGGACGGTATTGTAAACTAACTTTAACAACAATGACGACTAAGCCTGTTTGCTTCTTTTGACACCAGAAAGACTTTATTGTTGTGAATGGTAAAAAATACTCCTTTGAAGATACTTACTCTAGATATACACCAACAGGTTTGTTGACTTATTATATCCTTTAAGGACGAGTGTAACATGTGCTGCAACTAGAGCAGGTTTCATTATGTTTGGATGTCCGACTGAGTTTACTATAAAAACTATGAGCTATAATACAAAACTTTATTTTTGGTTTTTACTACAAACAGTTTTCCTATAAACAGGAAAAGGTGTCATACAAGGATGTCTATTCCATTGACATTTAAGCACCCCAATCTTATATATATTGTTTCAACAACTAGGTTCAAAGTGTTATTCGAATGTCGACAGAAACTACTATGACAAAAGATACTCATGCGTATAAACAATACTTTCTCTGCTGGGTTTGCCTATTGTTCATTCGAATCAAATTTTTCAACCTTAGTGAACTCAAACACTTGGCAAGTATAACGTTGACATTAGTTGACGCAAAACTTTGTTCCTGTAAACTTTTATGTCCTATGTATTTGTCAATGACGCAGAAAGTTTCGAATTGGAAGATGCAACTTGGTGAAGATTGTTATACTAACGAACAACTTCAACAACAAATAGCTCAAGAACAACAAAATGCAACAAATGGAACAAACACAACGTCTTCAAGAATAAAAAAATAATATTTTTTTTATTTTTATTAAAAATGTACAGAATAGATGTTTCAGATTTTTATGACTTCCAAGCCTTCAGAAATATGTGTCCATTTAGAGACTATAACAAAGCAGTCCGAGATTTGAAACGTTTAGTCATTTATGTTGACTCTGCCCCAGATGTTATGTCATGAAAGATGGGATGTTGTCTTTAACAACCAAGAGCAACAATATTTTCAGACAAGAATGTAGACAGAAACTTAAGAAAATAAAAGTCGTACAAGTTGGTATGAAGATGTTAGATGCTTGGGATATCTTATTGTCAAAACTTGAAGATTTTTCAGTTCGAGGTATAAAGTTCTATATACACCTTCTCCAAACTTCTATTCTATCTTCACTGGATATAAATACGAACAAGTAGAATGGAAAGAAAATATTATATAGAAGCTTGGTTAGACCATGTCAAAGAAATTATATGCAATGGAAACGAAAAGGTTTATGAGTATATCTTATGTTGGTTTGCAAACATCTTACAATCATCCAGTGCTAAAAATGAAACATTGCTCTCATTATAATTGGAAAACAAGGAACTGGTAAGAACACATTCTTTACAGATATCTTACTTGCACACTGTTAGCAGGTCTATTCGAACGCCTAATATGACCACACTTTAGAAAAACACTCGTGGGCAAGTGGTTTAACTCCTCAATAGTAGAATATGGAAAGCTTATAGTTTAAGAACTTACAAGTTAATAATATACAACAAAAGTTTAAACGTCTAGCAATGCTTTGAAAGAGTCTTTATAACAACAAAGTTGGAGTTGTTGAAAGAAAGATATAAAGACCAAAGGTTTGGTGAATATGTTTGCAAACTCATTTATGGTTTCAAACAATCTGCGTGTTCCGAATGAAGTTTAGAACAGTTCTGACGAAAGTATATGTTGTTTGTCACGAACGTCAGATTACCATATGACAAGATACAGAGATATTTTGGACGACTTAGCAGAAGACTTTGACACTACCATTTTACACACCACCTTGTTTCTCATATTTCATGACATTAGATATTTTCACAGCTTCAATCAAGACAACCATCATACCGAGAGAGACGAAACATTGTTAGAAGCAAACAAGAGTGTATATGAACTGTTATAGGAATAGACACAACTAGCTTGAGATGTTTAGATGAAAGGTTCATTGTTACGTCGTCTATAAAAAAGTATGTCCACGAGCAATATGGGTTTTATCTGACAGCGCCTACAACGAACATTCTTGGCAAATGTCAAAAATCTTTCTATGATGTTCATAGCAAGGCTGTAATATACAAAGAAAAACTTTTTCTGAGTAAATTTTAAAAAAAAATCATTTTTTTATTCGATTAGAAAAGATGGCAAAAATTTATCTCAGTCAAAATATATGTCATGGACTAGAAGTAAGACTAAGTTAGCTCCATTCGCATTATTTGATGTTATTCTACGATTTTGAAAAGTCTACAATTGGACAAAAGTTGGAACAGCAACCAGTTAAGTTGCTGATTGTTAGATAAAAAGTGGTGCAACTATTTGACCACAGACATAAGACATAGAAGGTTTGTTAGCAGTCAAAGAAAATTTTGAAGAAAGGTTCTCAAACACTAAAGAAGCAAAGCATACCAACTTGTTATACCTTATGAACCAAAGAAAGCAGACGATTCTAATGAATATATGAGTCCTAAGATAGTTGAAGTTCAAGTACAATTGGGTAAGAAGATTTTAGAAGTCTAAGCCAGCTGTTTCCCTTAAAGAAGGAAGAGCAAAATTGACATTGACCGCAGAACATTTTCTAAAAATAGCAAAACTATTTATTTTTACATGTCAAATTTCTTTTTCTTCGGAACTGCTCTGCGTTCCTTTCTTCTCTTCTACTTTCTTTCTCTTCTTATTTCTTTATTCTTCTCTCTTCTCTTTCTTCTTTTCTGGTGGAGTTAATGTCAATTTCTCAGAACCATATTTTTGTAAAGTTCTTCTTGCCTTTAATAGCTCTCTATTTCTGTTTTCTATTTCAATCTTCAAGAACAGCGAATGTTTCTTTGCATTCTAAGAACTTGTTGGACTTCATACTTTCCAATGAGCGTCATCTCTGCAACAAGTCTGTCATTGGACAAACTTAAGCTTCTTTGCCTAATGTTTATGTAT